AGTGTCTTGGTCTTGGTCTTGGTACCCTCAAGTCTCGGCAGTGTCTTGGTCTTGATACCTTCCAGTCTCGGCAATGTCTTGGTCTCGGTTTAGGCGGTCTTGACTACAACACTATTGTTTGGTTACATATAGTTTAGACTAGGCCTGAGTAGGGGTTAAGGTTGCCACTGTTGGGATTACTATTTTGCCCATAGAAATTAATGGATGGTCCCCACAAAGAAATGAATGCAAGTGTGTGTGTGTGTGTGTGTGTGTGTGTGTGTTTTTAATATTATTTAAATAACCTGTAAAGATAGTCTGTGTGTTTATTCATTTGCCTTTGTGATTCTGAGTGGATTTGTTAATTATGTGGTTTATGTTTATGTGGTTTAGTATTAACAGTACGTTGTCTCATTGCATCATTTACTTTATGTGTTTTTGTTTTCTGTTTGTTTCGCGTCATCTGCCCAAGTGCTTGTACATCCCTCATACTGCAGCGCCCAGGAAAGCGCACGCCATCAAGGTAGTGTGCGCCATCCTGCCAGTCAAGCCGCTATGCGCACATACTGCTGCACTCACTAACCACCACGCTATCGATTCACTGTTCACCATGTGCGGCACTAACTTCTCTCCAAAATGCATGCCAAGGAATCGACACAGCGCCACCTGACTGTTGGCGACTGGCTCATGATTTTTTTATTTTTGCCATACTGTACCATTTAAAACTAAAATTAAACCTTTCTGGTGTCCAAAAGTGCATTATATTCTTTCTACTTAACATCTACAACTTTTTTTCCACCTTGTTTTTTTGGGGGTTGTTATATGGGAACACACTTTGGTCCATGCAGATTTCTGTCAGCAGCCCCGATTTCACTCTATGGTTTGCAGAATAACGGTGTAGTTACAAGGATGTTCTGCTCAAGATGAATGTTACTGTTTTTGGTTTTCCTGCTCTACTACAGCCAGAAAATTGGATATAGTAGAGAATTTACTGATTTATTTTGAAATTTGGCTATAAATACAAAAACATTGTAAATGTGAAGATGCCTTGGTATTTATTGTGTTCTGTGAACGTGATGAACTGGTTCTGCAACTGAAACCAAGAACCCCCTAATGACCCCCTCCTTACCTGCTCTTCTGGTACTTAGTGTGAATTGAAAATGAGTAATGGAAGTTTATCCAACAATTTGTTCTACCATGCTGAGAAAACATCATGATATTTTCAGACATTGGTCGCATTCCAATAATGGATGTCGACTTCCAGCAAGTGCTGCCTTATTTTTTTAAATCCCTTCACTGAATTTTTGTGCTGGCACTTTAATAAGCAGAATGGCAGAATTAAAGCCTCCTTTTATCTGAGTAAACCAGACCCTTTACTCGTTAGGCTTATGGGAAAGCAGTAGCTGCCATTTGACTCTAGGTTAGCACCTGTGTTAGCCTAGCCCTGTGATGAGAACCCTGTCTCAGTCAGCCTCCATGCTGTTGGTATCCCTGGGGTACTTACTGCATTCATTTGAGCTGGTTGTCTGGCTTCAGTTGCACTCTTCTCCCCTGAGAAAAGGGCTGTGAGCTAATTTTTCCTTGGAAGGGTCCTGGAGGAGGGACCTCTGCCTAGTCTGAGTGTGTCTGAAATGCTCTTCCAGAAAACGTACACAGAGGAAGAGTTAAATGCCAAGCTGACGCGGCGAGTGCAGAAAGCTGCCCGGCGACAAGCCAAACAGGAGGAGCTGAAGCGGCTGCACAGAGCCCAGGTTACTACAACTGTCTCTCCGTCCCTCCCTCCCTCCCTCCAAGTGTGCTCCTATTTGTGTGTGCTTGTCTGTGTTTCTCTTTTATTGCTGCCATGAGTGCAAAGCACTTAACTGCACTCTTCACTGTTCTGGGAATGAGGTTTGATGCTGTGTATATAAGGGCAGGTGCAGTGAACCACTCTCTGTTTTCCTGGTAATGTCTGTCAGTGGTGCACTAACTCCAGGATATTGTGCCTGAAGGGAAGCCCACTTCTCTCCCCTAGATCATTCAGAGGCAACTGGAGCAGGTGGAGGAGAAGCAGAGGCAGTTGGAGGAGAGGGGCGTGGCAGTAGAGAAGGCACTGCGAGGGGAAGCAGGTACATGTCAGTCAGAATTGTCTCAGACTTATAGGGGGGATTCTCTCCAAGCTCCGCCTAGGTGGCGGAATTAAGACCCTCACACATGCATCAGACTGAGGTGTTGGTCTTTATGTATGCAAAAAATAAAACAGACTAGCTTGGGAAAAAGAGTTTGGAGATATGAATAGGTATAAATCTGCCGGTTTGATTTTTATGTCTTGATTAAACAGACTTGATAAAATATATATAAACTCAATACCTAATTTAGGATTTGCCATAATAAAAATTCTCAATCTAAAGAGGCTTGAATAAAACAATCACAAACACTGTTTTAATATGATGATCTTAGGTCAGTCCTCCGTAAACTGGGACAAATGACTTCAATTATGCAACTGTTGTTCTCACTATTTCTTTGGTGCCCATTGGGTTGAGCAATTGGACTAAGACTGCTAGACTGTTAAAAGATGGCCCAGGCACCCACCATCACATCTCGTTATGCTACAATGTAGTGCACGTTTCACATACTTCTGCTGAGCCTGACAGACAAGGGACTATCACAGACGACCTAACTGCCACCATGTGATGTTACATTATCCAGGTCTGTCAGATCAGGCTCCCTGGCCCCCAGGGCCATTGAGATGATGGTGTGTTAAGTAAACTGTACATAGATGTGTTTGGCATGCCACATTTCACACCTAGTGCTATGTAGAAGACCATGAGCATTACACCCTGTGAAAGGTTGTCGAAGATCCCTCTTCCCCCAAAAACTTTTTTTGAAAACAGGATTATGTGTTTGTGCTGTGCCTTTTTGGTGAGAGATACATTTTGCAGTATAATTCTGGCAAATTTTCTGCAAAGTCACAAGACTGCAAGCTTTGCTATCTGTTGAGTAACCTGAACATTGATATGAAGTAAAATCAATGCCATGTAAAAAGCTGGGGATTGTCTGCTACCATATTATAACAAATTGATTGACTGTACGATTATCTTCATCGTTCGTGTTTTTCAATAGGCGGATGATGTAAAAATATAAATCCTCAGAGTTTCTCATGCAGGACAATCCAGGTCAAACTGAAAATGCTCTTAACCTGTCATTTACTCTCTTAAAGGGTGGTATAAAGGGTCTTACATTAGTCCAAAACAGCATAAAAGAAGATCAGGTATTCAAAACTGGCTGTAGTTGTGTCTCCATAACACCACATCTGCCATTTCTTGGGCCTGTCATCAGTGTAACCCATGTCCGGTGCTGTCTGTCTCTCTTCTGTCTGTCCTTGGGTTGTCCTTGGTTGTCTTTGAGGTGTCCTTGAGGTGCATGCCACTGTTACCTGAGGATGTGTGTCTCTCACATAGATTTGCCTGTGTGCTACATCTGTATATCTGTATGTGCCCCCAGAGGAAATGACATAAACAGAAGCACAAGTTTGCTCTTCTTTTTGCCATAAACATTGCTTTTACCTTTAAGAAGATAGATGTAGGCCACACTGCACCCCTCAAACACCGTTTCAAACGCCTGATTATCATCTGTTCCCTCCCCATGTGCCCACGTGTGATGCTGGGGGGGGGGGGGGGCATGACAGCCACTTCCCCGAATGACCAGCTGGTGCTGATGTCAATGCATGCCCCTTTCAGCCATGCCTGGCCGGACCTGGGGGACTGCAGTACGTGACACTCTGGGTGCAACCTCAGAGTCTTCTGCGGTCAGAAATAAACATACATCAGCATTATGAGCGAATGAGAGATGGCGGCACCACAGGTTGGGGTGCGGGGTGTCCCAGCATTACAACAAATCTATGTGACTATCTGGTGCAGCATGTTATGCGCACCTGTGGTGCGTACATGTTCTGTCGAGCGTGTGCGTTTTAGTGTGCATGCTGTCCATCCATGGCTTTGTGCAGTAACTGTCCTTATTATATATTCCTATTATAGACTATTGGGGAGAGTCTAATTACACTGAAGTCCTGGACTTACATCTGGGTGGTATGTATTTCAAACCTGTCGCTTTGACCCAGCTAACCACTAACCCTGCACCTTCCCTGGCATAGCACTAGATGTGGTGCCTTTACCTTTAATTCTTCACCCCCTGAATACTAATGGCCCCACCCTTTCCAGTTCAACAATGGTAGTCTTAGGGCGATAGTCAGGCATCCCATCAGAAGTCCCATGGAGACTTGCATGTGGCTGCATGACCTGGTTTTATTCATATCTCATGTGTCACGTGGCCTGGACATCATGGTTTGAAATTACACCTGACACAAAGGACAGAGGTTGCATTCCACACCTCCTCAGCTCCTCAGCTTTTTCATTGCTTGCCCCCCCCCCCCCATTTCCAGTTAATTTATGTTTTTGTTCAACCCTGGAACTGGAAAGAGGTGTTTGGTCTGTACTGAACAAACTTAGCCCCACCCCCCTGTGATCCTTATTGGACCAATCCTTTGTCAGCCAGGAGTAGCTAGCTGTCAGTCCTGATGTACAGTAGCTCATGTTCATGTCGTTATGTTCAAAGGCTCTCCTCCATCTCACCCGATCCCCGACCTCAGACTTCTGTAGAAGGCCATGTGATGTCATGTCTCGTTGTGTGGTGTCATGTGACCCGTCTGCAGACTGTGCTCCTGCTGTTCACTTTGTGTGCCATCATTCTGTAGCTGTCCATCAAGCAGGAGCTGGCCTGCGCTGCTGACTGCAAGCTCGGGAGACTCTGAAATGGTCAATGACATCAATCTGTGTTTCTGTAGGAGTCTCTCTTCATTTTACATGTGTGTGAGCCAGGGGTTTTGACTGTTTTTGGGCTTCCATTTCTTTTAAAAACAAAAAAAGCACACAAAAGTCTGAAGGTTCCTGCACCCGTTGTTTAAAGAAAAGTTATGCTCTTAAAGGGAGGTGACAATCTTAAAGGGCAAGAGATACTCTTAAAGAACAAGTGTTGCTATTAAAAGCAAAGTCTGAACATGAAGCAATTTTTTAGAGGAAGGGTGTTGAAGGCCTGAATCCTGGGGGTAAGTATCACTGCTGAAACACAGGGATGAGGGCAGATCGGAGCAGAGTACCACCCTTCCCCTCAGAATTGAGCCTCCTAAAGATACAGATGTGCTTAACTAATCCCCAGCCTTCTGGGTTTCGGGTAACAGAACACGGTGCGAATCCCATCCTTGGATTTTCTTTAGGGTGTTTTACTTCAGCCTGGTACCTGTGGGGGACCCCTCAGGCCTGAAAACGAAGCAGGCCATGGCTCTTTGGGTGTCTGAATGGTTGTTGTTGTTTGTGTTTTGCCAGTTACGCTGCTTCTGAAGGTAGGTGTTCTTTGTGGCCTTAACATAATGCACAAACCGCTAAGTGGTGGAGCTCACACTGAAAACAAGCCATTACCACCAGCACCAAGGTGTAACGCGTGTACCCGTTGCTGTCCATGAAGTGCACCCCGGGACACACCTCCCCCCACCTTGTCTGTGATAGTCCCTTGTGGCAAATAACCCAGCATCCCTCTCTCCCAGCTCTTTCGCCCTATGGAACTGTGGGTACATGCTGTCTGTTTCCTGTCTTTAGTGTTACACACCTCTTTCAAATACCTCTGTACTTTTCACTTGTTTTCCTTTCCCTTCCCATGATTCTGCTCTCCCTTTTATTTTTAAATGTTTTTACATTTATTTCCGTTGATAACATAGATTAGACAGACCATTCTCTTAAGCCCCTCCTGAGATAAATCTCTGTCCTCATTTCTTAACTACATAAGTAAAAGTGTGCATATCACTTTAAGACTGATTTGGGGATGGATGGATTTCCATTTAGAGGGATAAGAACCTGCGTGAGTCTCTGATTAGAGTGCAGTACAGTGGAGCTATAGTGGGATTAGTGGAGACTGCTGAAAGCATGTTAGATGCTAGTAGACATGGTGGTGGATCATCCACATGCCAGTCTCTGTCCAGTAGCCAGGGGGAGCAAAGCTGCGGTAGGCAGCCTGGACAGTTTCTCCAGCGACAGAGGACTTCCTGTCCTGTAGAGCACACCCCCGCCTGCACACACTCACACATACACACACACACACCTTGTGTGTGGCTCCTCTCAACCTGGCTATACATCCCAAATTTCCCATAGACTGCCTTTGATTTTGTCTCCCTCTTCTTCTCCCTTCACGCCACCTGTCATCTCTTACCTGTCTTCTACACTCTGTCCCTCGCTGTCTCTCTTTCTCTCTCTCTCTCTCTCTCTCTCTCTCTCTCTCTCTCTCTCCCTCGCTCTCTGCCCATTGCCTTCCTGTCTCTTCCTCTTTCTCTCTGTTTCTCTCTCCTTCACGCCTCCGCCACCCCACTGCTCTGCACTCTTTGCCTGTCTTTTGGAAGTGGAGCCCATTGTGGGGGCCCCTCGTCGGAGACCTGTCACCTTCTGCCATTGCTGTTCCTCCGAAGGTAATGTAGCCCCGCCTGTCCTGCCCCTGGCCACAGCATGGTTACCCTGGCAACCAGCCAAGCGACCGCCCGTGTGTCCGAAGCCCACGCTCCTCTCCCCGTGTGTGGCACGGCTGGGTAGACTCCCCCGCGATGTGATGGTTCGGTATCTGCTATGACGTACCTCACCACACAAAGCACCACACCCACTGGTCTGGAACACACAAGATGGGTGGGGTTTAGTCTTCCAAATGAAAGGAGGTAGACTGACATACTCAGAATGCTGATTAGTGAAGCCACATGGTCCATGATGTGTGCTGATGAGTGATGAGACTTTTGGAGATGGGCAAGAGGCACATAACCTTGATCTGCAGCCAGAATGAGGAAGGCCTGTGCCCAGCATATCTGTGTGCACCTCCTGTGGTTCATGATCAAAGCTCTGTTGGTTAGGCCAAACTTCTGGGTTCACTTTAAAAGCCAGGTCATATACGGACACAAAAATGGATCCATGGACCATACCAGCCCTACTTAGGGTTTGAGAATTAGATAAGTGTGTATTTTCAGCAGTGTTGCACAGTGAAGAAACGTAGTGCCTGCAGGTCGATTTTTTTAAATATCGAGTGCATCTCTTTGACACTGTGCATAACAACACAGGAGAACCTGAAAAAGTCAAAACACTTCTTGAGTGCTCTGTTCCACCTTGTGGTCTCCTTGTTGCTTCAGCAGTGATGTCTCTAGGCCAAGAGTGAGAATGTACATTCCTGTCTGATTGGTGCCATTGAGGCTGGTGTTTTATCTTTGTCACATGCTAATTGTGTCTTATTTGTGTTTATGAGGTGGGTGGGGGTGGACAAGAGGGTGGAAGGGTCAACTTTTTGGCAGAATGCAAGACGAGAGGTACATGAGCCTGCTTTTGGACTGGTCTCAGGGGGGCCTCCTGGACTATAGACAAGCAAGGGCGAGTTCCAGATGCCACATGAACCCCATCCTGCTTTCCATGCTCTTTATGTCTCCGAACCTCTAAGCAAATGCAGCTGAGAGCCACACCCTCCTCCCCGCCATGTCTCACTTGACCTGCTTAGCTCCGTCTGTGTGCCGTAGGCGGGAAGGATAAACTACAAATCTCTGCACCGCATGTCTTCAGCGCTGCATGCTCCCAGAACCCCACCTCTCCAGTTTCAACCTGTATTATGAATGGAGTACGAGGACATGTCCATTTGTACCCATTCAGCTGTGATGAAAACAATGGTATCTTAAAACAACATTACTTAGGTTCAGTAGGACCATATTCATTCAATTTTAAGTTTTCTCAAGCACAAAAAGTGATCTTCATAAAACATATAAAACATATAAACAGAAAACCCATTTCTGGGGATGCAGTTCTGCCACAAGTCATTGAGTAATACTTCATGTAAATGACAGGCCTTGTACTGGTGTAAGTCTATTGATCATTATTGACTCTCACTGGGCGAATGTCGAGTTTCTGAACGTGAGTTCTGGCATTAAAATGATGCAGACTTCTGGAGCCACACTGAGCAAGAAAAAGAATTGTTTAGTGGTTTAGTGGAAGCAGTTAGAAGCAAAATCAGCAGAATGAACTCAGAAGTCAACACCTAAACAAAGCTTGGAACATCTAAAAGGGACTCATGTGATGAGTCAACACTGACTTCCTGGCCCACAAACAGCTCTGTGATCAATGTCCACCTTTCAGTCTATACAGTTGACTAAAGGGTATATTAACTATTGTTGGTTTTTAATTATATTTCAATGTGGAGTGTGCTTGAATCCCACAATCTAAACTGACAGATTATTCCAGAAAACTAAGTCTGATGTTGTTATTGGCTGGTTTGGTACAAATTCTGACAGTCTTGGTGAGGTTAGAAACTTTCCTGTATAGGATGTAGGTTCTGACCTGTAAAGTTCCACCAAAAATCAGGACTGGTATCCCAGCTTGCATTGTCAGCTTTTCTCTAGCCAAAATCTGCCCCCACTTCATCTTCTGTCCCAGTTGAGCTGCATCACTCATTGTCACCTTTGCATCCATTGTGTTTCACTGTCAGCCTGAAGAGATTTTACCCCGCTACCTGCATCTCATACCTCCTCTCTCCCTTGGCTCTCCCAGGAATGGGCAAGAAAGACGACCCCAAGCTCATGCAAGAATGGTTCAAGCTGGTCCAAGAGAAGAACGCCTTGGTCCGCTACGAATCTGAGCTGATGATATTGTGAGCCATCCATGCATGTTTTTGGTATTAAAGTTAAAGTAAGCTGTTCTGGCCACTTTTTGGCCTTTATTTGAACAGCTTTGCTGTAACTTGAAACCTGAGACTCCTAACCTCCTAACTAGGCAGTTAAAACCTTGCCCTCTGCCCCCTAGTGCTCGTGAACTTGAGCTAGAAGACCGGCAAAGCCGACTTCAGCAAGTCTTGAGGGAACGAATGGCTGTGGAAGGTGAGGCTGGCTTTTCAAGATGTCCATATGCAAATCAAAATCCATCCATCCATCGTCCAACCTGCTTATCCTACTGGGTCGCGGGGGGACCCGCGGAGGAAGCCCCACGACAACACAGGGAGAACATGCAAACTCCACACACATGTAACCCAGGCGGAGACTTGAACCCAGGTCCCAGAGGTGTGAGGCAACAGTGCTAACCACTGCACCACCATGTCACCCCCAGGCTTAACATCAAGTAGCAAAACAAAAACAAGTAGGCAGGTATAAAATACAATAAAATTTGAGCAGTAACAAAGAAAAAGATAAATAAAATCAAAAAACAAGACGTGTTTCTCATACCTAACTCAATTGGAGTCAAATCCTAAGACAAAGCAATGAGTAATAAGCAATGATTTTAAAGCATCTATTGACTGTGTCTAATTTGGGAAGGGAGGTTGTTCAGAATCAGAATCAGCTTTATTCGCCAAGTGTGCTGGGCACACAAGGAATTTGCTTCCGGCGGCTTGAGACTCCTTAGTACACAGACAATAAATGACACTATACAAACAATAAGTTACACTATACACAAATTTAAACAAATAAAATTTGAAATATACACACATGTACAAAGTATAAAGTGCGAGGTTGAGTGCAAACAGAGTTTAAGGGGGGAAATTTACAGAAGGCAGGTGACCAGGGTTGGGGGCATTCCGGAATGCATTGATCAATTCCAGTCCAAATCAGGAAATAGAACTGGAGTTGAAACTTAAATCTCCCTGAAATTCAAATTCAACTCTAATTTTGTTCCCCGTAGTTTTTTTTTCCAATCCCAGCTCCAGTTCCATTTCTTGATTTGGACTGGAATTGATCAATGCATTCTGGAATGGCCCCAACCCTGCAGTTGACACAGCTTATCTGTTTATGAGGGTGATGGCCTGAGGGAAGAAACTGTTCCTATGTCTGGTGTTTTTTGTGTACAGAGTTATGTAGCGCCTGCCAGAGGAGAGGAGCTGGAAAAAATTGTGTCCGGGGTGTGATAGATCTGCAATGCTTTTCTCTGCCCGTTTCCTAGTCCTTGAATAGTCCTGGATGGAGGGCAGGTGGGCACCAATGTTTTTTTCCGCTGCCCTCACTGTTCGCTGCATTCTCCTTTGATCCTGTTTATTGGTTGCTCCAAACCACACTGTGATTGATGAGCAAAGGACAGACTCAATGACTGGAGCTCAACAGCTCCCGTGGCAGACTGTACTTCCTTAGTTGCCACAGGGAGTACATCCTTTGCTTGGCCTCTTTGAGGACGGAGTTGATGTTGGGTTCCCACTTCAAGTCTTGGGAAATGGTTGTTCCCAGAAACTTGAAGGTTTCCACCGTTGCCACAGAGCTGTTGGATATAGTGAGAGGATGAAGTGTCTGATGGTGCCTCCTGAAGTTCACTGTCATCTCCACATTCTTGAGCGTGTTAAGCTCCAGGTTGTTCTGACTCCACCCGAACACCAGCCGGTCAACCTCCCACTGATATGCAGACTCGTCACCATCTTGGATAAGTCCGATGACTGTAGTGTCATCTGCAAACTTTAGGAATTTGACCGCTTGGTCATTGGAGGTGCAGTCATTTGTGTAGAGGGAGAAGAGCAGTGGGGAGAGAACACAACCCTGGGGAGCACCAGTGCTGACTGTCCGTGTACCAGAAGACACGTCCCCTAGCCTCACATGCTGCTTCCTGTCTGTTAGGAAGCTGGTGATTCACTTGCAGATGGCAGGGGAAACATGGAGTTGTGAGAGTTTGGAGGAAAGGATTTCAAGAATGATTGTATTAAAAGCCGAACTGAAGTCCACAAAAGGGATCCGTGCATAAGCCCCTGAGTAGTCCAAGTGTTTCAGGATCAAGTGCATAACCATGTTGATTGAGTCGTCCCCTGACCTGTTTGTCAGGTAGTCAAACTGCAGAGGATTGAGCAGATGGTCAGTGGTGTTCTTCAGGTGGGCTAGCACACAGCTCTAGGGGTCTGTTGAAGATCTGCATGAAGACTGTAGCCATTTGATCAGCAAAGACTTTGAGACAGGAGGTGGAGACACCGTCTGGAACTTGTGCTTTCCTGGTTTTCTGTTTCCGGAAGAGCTGGGTCACATCCTTTTTTAATGTACACTTATGTTCTTATGTTCTTATATCTTGAGTGTAGCCTGTGTATCTGAGGGGGGAGGTTGACGTAGACTTGCTGTGAACCATGGCTTGTTATTGTTGATGTATCTTGGATGGGAAACATGTGTCTTCACAGAAACTGATATATGACGCCACAGTGTCAGACCAATCATCCAGGTTGTTGGTTGCAGCTCTGGATCAGAGTGCCCCATAGCCTCCCGGGGAGCAGAGCGATATGCATCTTTAAGGACTCTGTAGCAGTGGTCCAATGTTTTATTGTCCCTGGTGGGACAGTTAATATGCTGTCTGTATTTTGGTAGTTTGTGGTTTAATTTAGCTCTGTTGAAGTCCGAATGGATGATGAAGAGGGAGTCTGAGTGCTTCTGCTTCTGCTCGGCCAGGATTTGCAGTGCATCCTTCACGCTGGCCTGAGGTGGAATGTACACACCAACCAGGATGAAGGAGGAGAACTCCCGTGGTGAATAAAATGCCTTGCAGTTGATGAACAGTGTCTCCAAGTCCCGATAGCTCCGATACGCGATCCGCACAGAGCAGATGAAAGCCTGGCAGTTGCAATCCGTTATTGGAGATAGTTTTACTGAGCCAGGTTTCAGTGAAACAAAGGGCACGCAGAGCACGTAAAGTCCTTATTAGTTCCATTTAGGAGAAGCAGCTCATACATCTTGTTGGGCAAAGAGCGGAGATTCGCCAGGTGAATTGACTCTGATTCCAGAGTTGGAGCAGCTACTGTAAAGGCTTGATCTCGTTTGCATTTAAGCCTGGACCTTGGTACAACCAGTAGCATTAGATTGGCTGACATAATACCTTTAACTGGCTTGTGAACCTGCAAAATCTCTGCAAGATACGGCAGTGCCGACCCATTTAAGGCTTTAAAATTGCAGATAAAGTTCAGTATGTATAGTTGCTGTGAGGACCAGTGCCCATATTTATCAAGTGTCTCAAAGTAGAAAAATGGTCTTAAGTGGCTCAGAAACAAACAAACACTATCCACATTTAGTAGTATGAGCAAAAGCATGTTCTCAATTTTCTTAACTTAGGAAAGTCCTCCTAACTTGTCCAGGATTTAATAGAGTTCAAGAGCTGTCCTAGCCTATTAGAAGTTGGCATAATATGCTGTTCAGACACAGATAGGTGTGCACATTCTGGGAAAGGACAAATGTTGAGTAAATACTGAAAAGCATTTTTGAAAAGATAGCTTATCAGGAACGGAATAATGTTTGTTACCAACCTTTGCAATTGGTCCATCTACAAGAAGCTATGCAGTCTCAGCTGAAATGAAAGCGCAAAGGTCAGAGGAATATAAATAGAAAAGATGCTGTAAACCAGTGTGCTGCGGTGGTGCAGTCATTAGTGGCTCCGTTTGTGTGGAGTTTGCATGTTCTTCCTGTGTTGTGGTGGGGTTTCCTCCCACAGTCTAAAAACACACTGTGGTTAATTGGAGTTGCCAAATTCTCCATATGTGACTGAATGGTGTGTGTGTGGCCAGTGATGAGTTGTTCCCTGCCTTGTGCCCATAGCCTTCAGGATAGGCTCCTGACCCCATCGTGACCCTGAAAAGGATAAGTGGGTATGGATGGGTGGATGGGTGTCATAAACTTGACGCCTTTCTCAAACTAAATACAACCACAGGTCTGATACAAATATTTCATTGAGATCATGGGCAGCAACACACTTTACCAAAATTTAACATTTCTCTCCTTGTCCTCCCTAGATGACATGAAAACAGAAAAGGAGCTGGCAGAGGAGAAGCAGATCCTCAGTGAGATGCTGGAGGTCGTGGAACAGCGTGACTCCCTGGTGGCTCTCCTGGAAGAGCAGCGGCTGAGGGAAAAGGAAGAAGACAAAGACTTGGAGGCCGTCATGCTCTCCAAGGGCTTCAGTCTCAACTGGGCATGAATCAGCTTATCTAGGGAACACTCCTGAAGGCCAAGCCCTTATTCTACCACAGCATTATTATTCTCCATTGACATCTGAGAAAGTTTACATGCTTACCCATACTTTAAAAATCACATTGGGTGGGAGAAAAACTGATGTGGTTTCCCTTAATAGAGCTGTCTTGACTGTTTATTTTAAACTCCTCATATGTATTTAAGTGTTTTTTTAATCTCATTTTTAGATGATGGTTGGGAAAATGCTCTGTACCTTTGGACATTGAGCTTGCTCACTGTGTATATGAATGTACAAAACCCACGGACTGGCAATCAGTAGATTATTTATTAACTTTCACACAAGTAGCAACTCAATCCGAATCTGCCTGGACTTCCTGGCTCCATGCAGCAGAATTCCATCTTCTTCCACAATCTGTCTCAGTCCCTTCTCATGTGTTGCTAGCCAGGCTTTGGAAAAAAAAACACTGCTTCAACTGCCTTTCTCTTTGAACTGCTACACCTGAATTTAGAAGACTGCTATTGATAACATCTTCATATAACAATTGCAATGCAAACATTTTCAGACCTGTACCAACTCTTTTACTTCTTTATTCCTAAACATTTTTTACATTTTTAATGCAAAATTTCTTATGTGTTTACCCTACTCTAGTAACTTTTAAAGTGGTATTGCCTGAATGGATATGAGGGTCAGATGTGTTATGCAGTACTGTTGCATCAGTGAGTTGGACGAGAGCACACATTACCAGCTGTAGCTCTTTATAAAAAATAAAATTCAGGTATAGATATTTAGGCTTACTGAAAAGAACTGACCATGTGGCTTTTCATGTGTCTGTAATTAGAAATGCATTGGTAGAACTAGTTAAGCTGTGGGACTGGTGAATTTTTAGTACTCTGATTTCTCACATTCCTTTGGTCATGTCACAGTTCGTGAGATACCCCACTCCAAATCTGGCCGAAGTTCACCAAAAAAAAAAAAACACTCACTGCTGCATAATGGAGCTGCATTTTTTAAACATCTAGACCCACATATGCTGCCACATTTCTTTACAGTAATATCAAAACATCTTTAAACAAAGACCATGTAATACAAAAGGGAGAGTTCAAAATGGTTATTAAGTTTATTGTGCAAAAACGTATAGGAGTAAGGCTCTTAAATGCCTTTTCCAGTAGCGTTTTTTTTTTTAAACTTAAGTTTGTAAATCTTCTGGTTTTCCATTCCACTTCTGAGGTAGCAGTAGCAAAACTTCTCAACATATCTTTTTGTACGTTACTCATGAAAAATGTTTTTTATGATCTATAAATGACGAGACATGATCATATGAATGAGCGATGTGAGGCAACTGCAAGCTGCTTTACATGGTATCCACGGAAGGACAACGTGCGCTTCTGTGTGGTCACACACAGTGGGAATTTGTGTAGAGGATTATGAGTAAACAATTAATAGGATAAATAGGTGTACAGGATTCTAGAATGACTTTGAGGTGGAATGTTTTTATTTATTAACTTATGAAAAGGGACATGTATCATATGTAAAGAAAATTGATTAATTTTTAAAACATTTTGCTGTTCTTAAACTTAATGTATCTTAGTGGCATACTTGTGTTGATTGTATATTTCATGAGTAATAAAAGCAATGCAGAGGGTATTTTACAGAAGTGTGGTGTGGCATTTCTCCTTATATGATCATTGTTATTTTATTTGAAAGATGAAGCGATGTACAATAATACTCTGTAATCTTGTCATCCCTATAAAGCAAATTAGATCGGTTAATATAATGAATCACTTTTAAATCTGCATATTTACAGTTATGTTTAGTGTTATAGTATTTTTGTTAATTTTTACATAGTCTATTGAAATTCCCATTTTAATTACATGAATGATAATACTTCGTATACTTCATGGTTTCATTATATCCATCCATCCATTATCTACCGCTTGTCCGGGGTTCGGGTCGCGGGGGTAGCAGCTTCAGGAGAGATACCCAGACCTCCCTCTCCCCAGCTACCTCTACCAGATCCTCGGGGAGGACACCGAGGTGTTCCCAGGCCAGCCGAGAGATATAATCCCTCCAGCATGTCCTGAGTCTGCCCCAGGGCCTCCTCCCTATAGGACATGCACGGAAAACCTCTCCGGGTAGCCACCCAGGAGGCATCCGCACCAGATGTCCAAACCACCTCAACTGGCTCCTTTCGACGTGGAGAAGCAGCGGTTCTACTCTGAGACCCTCCCGGATATCCAAACTTCTCACCCTATCCCTAAGGGAGAGCCCAGACACCCTGTGGAGAAACCTCATTTCGGCTGCCTGTATTCGTGATCTCATTCTTTCGGTCATTACCCATAGCTCATGACCATAGGTGAGGGTAGGGACAAAGATGGACCAATAGATCGAGAGCTTTGCCTTCTGGCTCAGTTCTTTCTTAGCCACGACGAACCAATTAAGTGCCTGCAAAACTGAACACCCTCAACACCCTGGCTGCGCCTAGAAATCCTGTCCATAAATATTATAAACAGGACCGATGACAAAGAGCAGCCCTGGCGGAGCCCAACCCGTACTGGGAACACGTCCGACTTATTACTAGCAATGCGGACCAAGCTTATGCTCCGTTCATACAGGGACCGAATCGTCCACAACAGTGGACCCCGGACCCCATACTCCCGAAGCACCCCCTACAGAGCACCTCGGGGAACCCGGTCGTAAGCCTTCTCCAAATCCATAAAACATAGACTGGATAAGCAAACTCCCAGGCCCCCTCCAGTACCCTTGCAAGGGTATAAAGCTGGTCCAGTGTTCCACGGAAAGGACAAAAACTGCATTGTTCCTCCTGAATCCGAGATTCGACTATCGATCTCACTCTCCTCTCCAGTACCTCGGAATAGACTTTCCCAGGGAGGCTGATAAGTGTGATCCCTCTGTAGTTGGAACACACCCTCCGGTCCCCTTTCTTAAATAAGGGGACCACCACCCCAGTCTGCCAATCCAATGGCACCTTCCCTGACCTCCACGTGCTGTTGAGAAGGCGTGTCAGCCACGACAGCCCCACAACATTCAGATCCTTCAGGTACTCGGGGCGGATCTCGTCCACCCCCGGGGCCCGGCCACCACGTAGCGGTTTCATTATATCACTACAGTGTATTTGTGTTGATATTGAAATGAGATTGGTATATGTCTATTTATTTATTGTCCCCTGCAGTTTGTAAATTCCTTTTTGAAATGCAATAGTATCACTGTTTAATAGTTAGTATGGAAGTCTGATGCAAATACGCACAAACCGATAAACTTCATTGCAGGGTTTTGCAATTCTTCCTAATCAGTATTGTGCAGATTTAGCTCTTTATCTTGCTTTAAATGCACCCTTCAGAAACTGACTCAGTGATCACAAAAAAAAAGAATCTGGCCAACCTCCACCCCATCTCCCATTACCTGTCCGACCACCACCCCATCTCCCAGCACCTGTCTGACCTCAACCCCATCTCCTAGCACTTGTCCGACCTCCACCCCTTCTCCCATCACCTGTCCGAACTCCACCCCATCTCCCAGCACCTGTCTGACCTCCACCCCATTTCTCACCAACTGTCTGACCTCAACCCCATCTCCTAGCACTTGTCCGACCTCCACCCCTTCTCCCATCACCTGTCCGAACTCCACCCCATCTCCCAGCACCTGTCCGACCTCCACCCCATGTCTCACCTGGGGCAGGAACTCAAAATGACTATACCATCCAAGGAGGCTAGTTGGAGGATGCTGATTGGTGGGCTCTGATCATTGATCACAGCTGTGATATTTATTTCACACTCAAATTATTGTAGAATATATACATAGAACTGTCTTTTACAGTATATGTAAAGATCTTTCTCACACACCATTAACTCACAGATGGACACATGCATATTTGGCAAATATATTAGAATATGCATGAATTTCACTTCATAATAAAATTTTTATGATATAAAGGACACAATAAAATATCAATGTAGTAAAGGTGATAAATAAAAAAACTAGCATATTCAAAAGAAATGTGTATTTTTAGAAAACTTTTAAATGAAAATATAGAAAATTTCTGGTTTTCATTTGTTCAGTCATTATACTTTTTTAACGGGGCAGAGATCATTGTGTGCGTCACATGCCACATGACTGGTCTGGTACTTATGTCATTTAGAAAACCCCGGTTCTTACATCACTGTTGGAGGCGTGGAGACATGATAGCCGGTAGCTTCAGAGACTGTAAAGTAAGTAATCAGGTGTGTGAGTGTGTGTGTGTGTATACATATATATATATATATGTATATATATATATATATATGTGTGTGTGTGTGTGTGTTAAATATACTGACAGCTGTAGCGGCGCGACTACATTACGTGCCATATGCGCGTTAAAACGAAAGTATCCATAGTTTGATTAGTACTGTTGTGTGCGTGTACGTGTACTAAAATTGTGTGCATGTGTGTTGTGTTTTTTGTTTTGTTTAACACGACTTTTGTATGTAGCCTACTTTTGTTTGACGTTAGTTATACTGTAGCTGCGGGGTACATTAATTAAATTTGAAATATTAAAAATAGTTTCGCCTTTCCAACGCCGAATTGAGAAACGGTTTTTAAATATCTTTTTTATATGAAAATGCATGGTTCATTCAGGCAGCAGGCGATTGGTGAGAGAATTGAAAGTACTGTACAGTACAGACAACAGGTAAAGCAGCTGCTGACGTCAGATATTTAAATGACTCCATGTTTATGCCGTTATCTTTTTTAAAAAAATCAATTTCCAAACCATTCATTTGCCTTCATTTAATAGGCATGGCAGGCAGAAGGTTTGCCTCTATCCACCACCAGTGACGAGGCCTGCAAACTGTACGACGCTATACTTACTCAGGTAGTCTGTAACCTCAATGTGGCAAATGTGGCAAATTGCCGGACCTTAAATATTTGGTTGTGATTGTGAGGTTTTGCATTACTGAGTGTCTGATCTCCTTTGTCTGCGATTGTGCTTCTGGGTGTTAACATGCAGATAGTGACCTGGCGTAATGATGAGTCCCTGGGGGGGATTGAGGGCTGTCTGTCCCGACTGGTGGCTGCTGACCCCAGCTTTGGTAGGTAGGCTCTACTGCAGCAGAAAAACCTCTGCATAATAATATAGCTTTAGTCAGTATATTGTAGATGAATACCAGGGAGAACATGTTCACCTTGGTTTCCAAATTTGTTCACCATGCCTGGATTTAAAGAAACATGAGAAATGAGTTGAAGATAGGTGCTTCTGTAAACCGTCCAGCTGTGGTAACCACACTAAAGTCTGTGTCATTTTTTTAATGGTAGTTTTGAGCAAGTTACAGTGTGAATGTTGGCTCTGTGTCATGTAACGGGTTCTTTCACGTAGTAATGGGCCATGTGGTCAGTGCGGGCCTGGAGCTGATTGGAGGCAGTAGTTCGGTACTGCGGAACGAGCAGCTGGCCAAAACTGTGAGGAGGACCCTGGAGCTGGCCCAGCAGCAGGAGCTCACGCCCAGAGAGAGACTCCATATCAGGGCTCTGGAACAGCTATCCAGAGGGTATGCCTACATGGCAAGCAAATTATTATGCTTCCTCTGTCCTGCTACTGCTGTTACCATAAACCAGGGGTGGCCAAACCTATCCAGAATGGCCACATGGCCATATTGCTGTAACTGACACTCCCTCACAATGCAGGTAATGTGCCTCATTCGGGACTCCTCTAGCAACTGCTCGTTTGACACAAAGTCAAACCAGTGGTACCCAAGGATTCTCCAAAGAGACTCAGTACCGAAGGAGCCCAGTCTTCGTCTCAGCTCACTGGATACCGTCTACTGTATGTCTCACAGCCATAAAGTAAGACAGGGAGCACCAGAATAAAGACTTGGACCTTCGTTCTCTTGCAAAGATATCGGGAGCACCACACACCTCTTTCCAGCTACCTCATGACCCCCCATGCTCTCCCAATCCATCTGCTGACTTTATAGGAAGAGTCACCAGAGACATGAATGTCACTGTCGAGGTAAGTAAATCTCTCAACAAGGTTGTCATTCTCCCCACAGATAGACATACTGCTGATGGCTGTGCCTAAGAAGTCATTAAATGCCTGGATCTTTGTCTTCAGGACAACCGCAATCCCAGACACTCCTCGTTCAGTCTCTCGAGAGCCCCAATCAGAGCCTGCAATGCCAGGAGGACAGCCATACCACCAACATGGAGAAGTTCACACCGGATACCACAGATCCCTGCGACCTTCCATGCCCCCAGCTGATTCACAGCCTGTGCAATCTCAGTGAGATTGGGTGGGTCACAGCTGATCGGAGGATCAGCTTTGAGAACCGTACACCCAGAGATGTCCAACATCCTAGCTGGCACTTTAAACAACTGCTGAAAGTAGCCAGCCCAGCGGGTCACAACTGCAGTGTCATCCGTAAGGACCATCCCATCACCCGCCCTGACTGCAAGTCCCTGAGGAACAGATTCAGATGTGCATAATGCTTCGATTCCTCTGTAAGCAGGATGTGGGTCACTAGACCACAGATGGTGTGTCACCTGCTCACAGATACCTCTAACAAACACCTTCTTATCTGCACTCAGAGCCCTCACAGCTGTCTTCCTAATTTTCCGGTACAGGCTGGAGTTGCGCTGTGACTCCTTTCGAAAATATCCAAGGTGCCCTGTGAGACAAAACACCTTCTTCTGGGAACACTGGCAACTCCAACACAACCCTTGGCAACCTCCAGTATTTTATCATGGAAGGTATTCCACATCACATTAGAGTCAGCAGTCGCACCCAAGTCTGCAAGTACCTCACACAAACTGCAGGAAAACTCATCAGAAACAGCTTGATCTTGGAGCCTGGCCAAGTCCAGCCTCATTCTCCTAGTACTGGGCTGGCCAAGCCTATCCGCAAAGGGCTAGTGTGTATGCAGGGTTTTGGGATAACCTTTAGGACAGCTGTTCAAACCCAGGTGTGAGGACTCTTCAGCCAGTCAGTCCTCTAATTAGTACTTAGCAATTAGTTATCTAAGCAGGGAGTTGCAGCGAAATCCTGCATACACAGCAGCCCTTTCTGGATAATACTGGCCACCCCTGTCCTAGTAGGTGGTAGCCTACTGTATCTGTAAGCTGAATCATTAGAGTAGCAATAACAAGTCTGTGATCAGAATTCACAAACTGGGCACTTATGTAGACTCTGAAGTTCTGCAGGAGCCTCCAGCGTCAGCCCACAAGGATGTAATTGATCTCCTTCACTGCACTACTAATATTGCAGCACCAAGTCCAACAGTGCAGCTCAGGGCGTTGGAACCAGGATCCAGTGACTTGCAGCCCCTGACCTTGGTCTCCAGATCCATGGGGATCGACACAATCCTTATAGCCAGCCCTGCTAGTGGTCACACTGAAGTCACCCATGACCAGAGGAGTGTCACCTCATGGGCACCCATCCAACACCAAGCGAAGTTGCGAGTAAAACATCACTCACCGTAGTCAGATGATTCACTGAGACAACAAACAAGACACCCAAGGAGTGCATTAGCCTGAGTCTCATAATACACTAGTTGAAAGGAGTGACATCAGACACCATCAGGAGGAGCCGATCCACTACAGCAACAGCTACTCCCTGAGTAGGGCAGCCATAAAACCTACCACACCAAAAGTAGGTATACCCACCTATAAAGATCTGGCCACTCCCCACTCTGCGTAACTCAGAAACTGCTGCCACCGAAATGCAGAGTTTACAAAGTTCCCCCAACAGCAGAGAAAGATGGTCATCTTAAGAACATAAGTAAGACAGGGAGCACCAGAACTCTAAAGACTTGGACCTTCGTCCTCTTGCAAAGATATCGGGAGCACCACACAAGAGGCAAGAGACAAGACGTTCCACGCACCTACCTGGATGGGCCACCTCAAAGTGGGACCCAATTGCCACCATGCAGCAGGCGAAGCCTCAGCACTACACCAGCCCTGATCCCCAGCAGACCCGGTCCTATTACCTCTCTGACGGTTTCGACTTTTCCGGGGTTGAGGCTCCAGAAGGCTTTCCCCCATCCCCTTCATGATGCATGCAGCCCTCCTGTAGGCAGCTGCAGCAGATCTACTCCTGCAGAGAGCAGAAGGGTATCGTGCCTGTTTATTCCAAGCTGTTGTGAGTTGTTTTTTTGTGGCTGGACTGCCAATCCCACCACCTACCCCCAAAATTTTCCCCTGCAAGTTGGAGGACCACTTGCAGGGCTGGGTGCAGTTTAGCATCATATCCAGGACCATTATTACCCTGCTGTGAGTAAAATGTTGATAAAAATACATGGGTTGTGAGTGAGTGGCAGGGAAGACCATTACAATGATGTCAAATATGGTATAGCTGTCCCAGTCTGACGATCTCAACTGTTTAATCACTTTTGGCTGGTCTTGGATGGTGTGTAAGACAGTAGTTTTCAACATCAACTGATGGATTTTTTTGTGGAAAAATGGTGTCCTGCCCCTTCAGACCATTATACATCCATATGTGTTGGATCTTTTCTGTTGGCTTGTGATGTCTTAGTTCCATGCTAATATACTTTTACACTTTATTGCTGTTCTTTCGGTAATTGATTATTACCTGTTTGTATGGTTATACCCATAAGTAGGTATCTGAAAGTTTTTTTTTTTTTAAATCTTCCAGATGTCTGTCCAAGGCCAGTGACCTCTGGGACGAGATCCTGGTGTCATACCCCACAGACATGCTGGCCATCAAGTTTGCACAGGTTAACCTTTTCTTCCTGGGTTACAAGACACAAATGAGAGACACGTTGGCACACGTTCTACCCCACTGGAAGCCCCACATGCCTTTGTACAGGTACAGTAGATGTTAATGACAGGGTTGCAGGAACTTATGTAACTATATTCGCTTTAGAGGTAGAAGTATGTATTCAACTTTAAATGTACTGCAGTACTGTATGCGGAGTGTAGATTTCTGTCCCTGTATATGAAGAATTATGAAATCCATAAAGCTTACTGTTATGATCCATTTTCTTACCTTTATCTATTTTCTGCCATTATAGGTACACTTGTTTTAGATGCAAATGCCTCAGTTCTTAAAAGACAATTGTGTTTAATGAGAAATACTGGAACTTTTTGGGAAATATCTATGTTACAAAGTACATAAATATTTAAGTTATACATTTTTAATACAATATCATATTTTTTGTTATTAATACCAGCTACCTTAAAGGGCTGTATGCATTTGGACTGCTGGAGACAAATTTTTATGACAAGGCAGAAAAACTTACAAAAGAGGTAAGAATTTAAAGTGGCAATGGTAATGTGTATTGTACTGGTTTCTCAACACAACTTCATTGATCTTTTAACTGGTTATTCTGGTCAGGGGGCCAGGAACATAACTAGTATAACATTTATTTATTTAAACTCCTCATAACCCTGCATAATTAGCATACAGTCTTCCTCCGTGAAACATGGAGATCGCGCCATGAGTCAAACGGTGCCTTGCGCTGCTGAACATGCTCCATTTGTGTGAACACGCACAAAATATAATGCAGTTAACAGCGATTTAACAAATCAACTTCTTAACTGGCGTCGTAGTACTGATTAGCCCCGATTGAGTCAACCTGATTTTGTCAACCTCGTGTTCGCAAATAACCTCTGGGTTAAGTCTGATTTGGTTAAACCCCATTCGTTGTGCAGGTCACAGCACTACAGTATGTTTTCAAGGTTTCCAACTGTCATGCATCTGCAGGTGTGACGCACTTTCAGACTGTCATGCTCACACAAGGAATCTTACAGCAAATATATAATATTTCATTGTAAACCTAAACTTAGCAATATCAAAAGCTTTGTGGTAGTTTGCAAACCCTACACGCTATTTACAAGGTAATAAAACTGTTACATACATAAAAATGCATGTGCATATAAGAACATAAGAACATAAGAACTATACAAACGAGAGGAGGCCATTCGGCCCATCGAGCTCGCTTGGGGAGAACTTAACTAATAGCTCAGAGTTGTTAAA